CCACAAAGCTGACAACAAGGTATTTCTTGTCTCATGAAAAGTGATGAAGAGTTTAGAAGGTTAAATGTAAAATATTCAAACTGAATTAATGCCCCTCCTCCTCCATCAGACTGGCCCTGCAGCACGGTGACGGCCACGTTGTGGACTACCTGTGTCAGCCCGTCATCGACTACATCCTGCAGAGTCAGCTGTACATCAACGCCTCGGGATAGAGACAACGACCTGCCCGCATGACAACAGGGAGCGTGGAGTGGAGGGGGGGGGGGCTACATACAACCGTCATCTATATAACTATAACCCCCCCCCAAAAAAAACCCAACCTTCCTTCTCTGTCTTGTGTCAAACATATACTCTTCTTTGAGCTGTTGCTTTCCAAAAGGAGCATTAGTGTCCCTCCTTCTGTCTGTGTCATGTGACTTTACGTGGGGGTGGGGGGGGAGGTATGGAGGTAACCCCTAAGGGCTGCAGAGCTGTTATTGATGTGTTTTTCCACTGCAGCGGTGACGCCACTGTTTCTCACTCTGTTATCTGTCTTCATTAAAGTTTGGGGTGCATGACTCGCAGCCGGGCATGCTCAGTGTACCAACGGCAGGAAACTCTTCTTCTGGATCAGGGCGGCTTTTAGCTAAAAGACGACAGGGTTTTTGGGCCTCATGCAAGAACCACTCGTAGGAACAGATTTGGTGGGATTCAAGGCAACTTGCCAAATTCCCCCATTTTTTGGTATTTATAATTTTCTCTTTGGTTTGTTGAAACAAGGTTAATATAGTTTTAGATTTTTCATTAGGTTTTATTGTTATTTCATTTTGACTTTTGGTTTTTAATTTCAGTTTAGTTTTAATTTGTTTTTAAAGCGGGTTTAATTTAGTTTGTAGTTTTGAAAATGCTCAGTTTGGTTTTAATTAGTTTTTAAAGCGGGTTTAATTTAGTTTGTAGTTTTTGAAAATGCTCAGTTTGGTTTTAATTCGTTTTTAAAGCGGGTTTAATTTAGTTTGTAGTTTTTGAAAATGCTCAGTTTAGTTTTAATTCATTTTTAAAGTCGGTTTAATTTAGTTTGTAGTTTTTGAAAATGCTCAGTTTAATTTTAATTCGTTTTTAAAGTTGGTTTAATTTAGTTTGTAGTTTTGAAAATGCTCAGTTTTAGTTTAGTTTTAATTCGTTTGAGTGTTAGTTTTAGTCTTTGGGCCTCTCGACTTTCGCACCATGATGCCAGGTGATGGGCGTGGACTAAATTCTGGCACAGTTAAGAAACTGGAAGACAGATTTCATATCTACCCAAATACCAGGCTTATGTCCGGCCTGAAATAAACTGACAAAGATGAAAATTAAAGCCATTAACTCTGTTTATTTTATTTTAGTTAGTTTTTTGTAAAGCCTTGTTTTTATTTTTATTATGTTAAAAGAAAATATTTTCACACCTAGTTTACAATAACGATAATAAACTTGGCATGAAATAATATAAAATAATACTAAATATAATAATAATTAGTCCTTTCTCCAAAAAAAAAACTTTGATGTAACATTTATTATTCCTTAATCTGAATAATTTTAAATTGTACCAAAATCAACAAGAAACAAAATAATCAAATACAAAATTAAAGCTAAATGTAACACTGCTAATATTCTGTACAATGTCATGCGTCTTGTTTGCTAAGCTCCGTTACCTGTCAAGCATTGCATTTAAGCACATCATGATAATTTCCAGACCATTTAAATCCATAGTAACTATTGAAACAGTGGATCCTTGATTTCAGACAAAGGCAGCTCCTTTCAGTCGGCGTCTCACAATTCGGTTTCCCGCAGAACTAATAGCCAACAGAAGCTAACGTTAGCTCCACGAGTTGATTGAAAACTCCGTCGCCAGAGTTTTTAATGTTTGTTGCTGACTTATTTTAATTGTGAATCCTGCAAAAGGTTTTTAAATAAGACTGCTACATGTCATGCTAACAGGCTGAGGCTAAAGTTAACAGGTCCCCAGTCCCAAGAAGAAGAAATGAAGGAGCAGAGTTGTTCCTGTATTGCAGAGTAGAGCTAGTTAGTCATTATTAATGTAGCATGAAAAGGTAAAATAAAAGTTGTTTCATTCTGACTTCATCCTGTAGCTCATCTAGAAAACCATGAACAAGCAACAAAAATATATGCTTTATTGTTTTTATTGACCTAGCTTGGCTTTAGAGATGGTTTTCATTGTTTACCTTTTGTGGGCTGCCCTGACGCCACTACAGACACTGATACATTTAAAACACTTCGGAAACTACTCGTAAAGTTGGACCGTGTGTGTTGAACCACTAAAGCTCCGCACTGTGAAGTTCTTCTCTTTACTATTTGGTGACATTACTTTTTGTAAATAAAGCTTGATACCTTCTCACAAACGCCCTCCTGCTCGTGAACACGTGTGCAGAAATAGGACACGAGTCCACCTTCTGTGTTTGTGTTGCCCTTAAAGTCGCATTCAGACCGGAAGCAATGTGAATTGTCACCCCAAATTTTTACCGCTGGACAGTTTGTGCTTAATGACCCCAGCCAGCTAACAAACCACCTGTATGTTAGCTGTAAGGACGCACCGGCCATGTCTGTGGTGTGTTTCTGTCTCCTTTCTGTTGCATGTTATTGTTTCACTAAAGTTTAAACTTTTTATGCATCTTTGCATCATTTGTCTTCCCACCGACTTTGGATGCAGTCGTACTGCCTCCAAAATTCTCTCGGCGTTCTGCCTGAAGCCGCTGCGTTTAGAACAGGAATGCAGAAATGTTCTTGCATCAGGCCCACCGTCTTCTGCGACGTTTGAAGGAAATCTTTTTCTCTTCACACTGCAGCTACCGGCGCCACCAGAGGTGCTGCGGTAGCTGCAGCCGAAACTGTACATAGCGCCACATCATAGTTCACGTCAACAGTTTAACCTCCGAGCTAAATCAGAGCTTTAGGTATAATAACCTGCAGGTAAGCAAAGCAAGAGCCCTGATGCTTCTGATGCTACCCTAACTGTGGGTTAAACTGACCACAGACACACTTTTAAACAGGGAGTACGGCAGGAGAGGCAGAATTATTGTCCTAAGTCAGGACATCCTGTCGTGCCAATAAGTGAATGAGATTTTAAGGCGTTGAGGATCCTGAAAATCATTTGACATATTGATGATGATGATGGAAACTTTTGTAAAACAGTGTTTTTGTGATGTGTATAAGGCTGTTCTTTTCTTCTTCATGTGCTCCTGTTAGCTCCTCTTAGACTGCATGCTTAGACAGTTCTGGCATGAATGTTTATCACTTGGTAGAATATGATCTGTTGTGAATGTGTTTGCAAAAAAGAAACAATACAAAAGAGGATATATATATACATACTATATATTTATATATATATAGAGAGAGAGTATATGTATATAAATATATAGTATAGAGTGGGGATCATCACCCACGTCTGTCCATTTTCTGTTCGCTCTGTAAATGTACAGATCTGTACTGAAGACCCTCGTCAGTGTGAAATTTGTTTGCAATGATTTGTACATTTATTCATGTTCTGTGTGTGTGAATCTGCCTTTCACTTCTTTTGTTTGTAAACTGTGATGCACTTTGTTTGTGTGAGTGTGTCTGGTTGGGGTTTTCTCAGCAGCAGCTGTGTGTTTACAGACGAGGACGGAAACATAATTTAATGTTATTTATGCTTTAACATTTATATAACTGAACTCTAGCCCAGAAAGTTCACTGAGTCCTGCTGCGGTTTGGTTCCGGCCTCCGTCATCTTCCTCTGGCAGACGTGTTTCAGGAGCACGTTGTTGGTACTTTGTCCTTGTTGTGTTTTTTTTACTATGCCTACCGGCAACCCGCCTTTGTTCCATCGCCTTAACGGCTGCACATCCTTCTGCTCAGAATCACTGTTTTGGCTGATCAGTGCTTAAGTAGGTTACGTAGTTAAGTGGTTTGTTTGTTTTTTTGTTTGCTTTAACCGTGTTTATGGTTGTTTTATGATCGGGAGTCTGCACAGGGTGTTTGATAACTGACCACATTCTCTACGCCGTTCTGAGTCTGACCTCCTGCTGGGTCGACGCCTCTGGCGTTGACTAGAAAGGCCTCGATCAGCATCCTGCAGCTGTAACACGACGCAGCTGGACTCAGTGAACTTAACTCATCTCAAAGGAAAGAGAGAGAGACTGAAACAAAGAGAGGAACTAAACTGAAAGTGAATTTGACAAATCTTTAATTAATGTATTTCAACAGGAGATTTATGCTACGTGTTTTGCGGCAACAGATTTTTAATTTTTAATTTAAGTCTGGTTACATGAAGCAACTCGGACCCCTGCTGCCTAGATAAAAATGTCTTTGGTTAAAAATATTAACTCATCTGTAGATCCAGAGAAACATTTGATCGGAGGTGAATCTAACACTCAAAGATTTGGCGTGATGACGTTTATCAGATCTCAGTTAGTAGAATATGTAACACTGAGTCTGTTCTGTGTGTGTAGACTTCAATTTGGGTACGTTAGTCACAATCTGCCAGTTTCATAGAAGAGATATTTATGTCATGTCACGATTTCCAGTGACTCTGAACGCGACAGCACCACACGGTGTCGGTGTGATGATTGACAGGCAGGCAGCTCCACCTTCCTGACCTTTTGACTTTTTCAGAAGTGGACTTCATCCTTCCCCCGCATGTCCCGGGACTCTACAAGTTAACTCTTGTCATTCCAATACCACAATAAAGTTTATTCTGTAGTAATATGACCACATGTCCTTATTTTAGATGTGCTGTCTTTAATTTAAGTCACTTTGTACTCAACATTTCAGACAGGAGTGCGTTTTGACATTCAGTAAATGATCAGTTGAAAATCAAGAATTGGTATATTTAACCTCGTTATCTCATTATTATAAAATAGAGATGCTCTTAACATTTTTATTTTTATTCCATAGTTCCTAACTTTTCCTCCATTTGTTTTGGCTTCCATAACGTCACCAGTGCTGCACGTAGAAATGTCAGACACATACATGAATAATGAAACTAAAACATGTTGAAAATCAGGAGAAAAAGTGCAGCAGGTTTTATTTAAAAGCAGTAACAAAACATATAAATATCTCTGCTGATCCGTCGCATGAATGAGTTGACAGAACAAATAAAAACACTGAATTCAAAAACATTTACAGTTATAAATAAAACACTTTTACATTGACACACTCATACATCAAACACACCGTTATTATCAGAAATGAAACGTGTTGATCCGCAGCAGTTTAATCTGTATTTACTGTAAAACATGTTGCGTTCAGGGCCATTGCTTGTTTTTTGACCGTGGACAGTATTTTTGAGACAGATACTGATATTTACAGTGGCTCCTGCGTGGCGTGAACGCAGCACGAGCATCACAGTGAGTTTTTGGGTGAACTGACCCAGTGAACGTGATGAGTTCATCGAACAACACCAACCTCGTAACTTCAAGAGGAAAAGAAAGAGAAATTGTGGCTGTTTACAGACACTAACCAAGTGCATTATGGGAAATGTAGGATCTTTTTGGAGCCCTCGGTTGTAAATCTGTCTCTCACAACAACGACTTTATGAAGCAGTGAGGACAGATTTCTCTTTAAAGTTTTCTTTGTTCCTTAAAAGTTAAAATCAATAAAAAAAATTCTTAGAGTACCAGCAGGATTTATTGGTACCTGATAATACAGCAGAATGTAAAACACTGGCCGAAGACTAAATTCCTTAAACTCACTTTTAGAATAGTTCTAACTCTGATTTGTATAGTCCGCCCTCCCTTTCATGTTTAGCACGTTATCAACGCTCTTCTAGGAGGATGCTTTAAATAAAGCTTTGAGCTGTGAATACACATTTGTTCTGAATTATTATTTAGTACCAGTCACTCAAAAACACTGTCACTGCACCACCCGTTGTTTTATAAGAGAAGGTAGATTCTTGTTTAAATGGCAGATCAGGACTCTGTGAGACCTGACGTCTCCTGGCGGCCCTCAGGGCTCCTCGATGGGCGGGCTGTTGTAGCAGCCGCTGGGGATGGCTCTCAGGATGTCCTCCAGGTTGGCGATGTCCCCCAGGATGGTGTCGATGTCCAGGTTGATGGCCGTCAGCCGGCGGCGCTGGGCGGCCTCCAGCTCCTCCATGTCCCTGAACCGAGGCCTCAGACTTCCTTCCACGTCTCTCTGAGCGTTGGCCAGAGAGTCCTCCAGCTGCTTCAGATGCTTTTCATCCACAGCGCCGGACCGGTCTGAGGAGAAGGAGAACGAAAGACGCAGAGGGTAAGAAAGAGCTCTTTAAAACACGCCACATGAGGGCTCACTTAAAAACACTTAACACCAGCTTTAAAGTCCGTGAATTTCACTTTATGTATCTGAATTCCAATACAAGAGGAATTGTTTGACAAGCTGGGCACGGACTAGAAAATCCACAATGAAGCCACTCGAAACTCTAAAGGTACCGTCAAAGTTTTAGATCAGAAACCTGATAGTTTTCACAGCTGTCAAGTTTTAAATACCCAAAGACTTCTGAGTTGGGAAAACAATTATTGGAACCACTCGAAGAAGCTTTCAGTCACTCCGCGATCTCTAAACAACGGAATCTGTTATCGATGCAGATAAGAGAAGCAAATCCTTATCGTTCCTTTACTGGTCAGCTTAACCTGCCTTTTTATTTTCTATTTAACTTTTAAAACTTTTATGTAAAGCACTTTGAATACCTTGTTGTTGTTGCGGTACAAATAAACTTGCCTTACTGAGATGTGTTGCTTGTTTGCAGATTGTCTTTGTTATGCTTTGTCTTTATGTTGTTTGTAACTTATTGTACCTGTCTATTATTCTGTATATATTGTTTTCAATTGTGGACTGCAATAAGTTGTTTTATGTCATTTTGAAAATGAGTCTGTTGAGCTAACTCTGCCTCATTTACAGTTATTTTACTGTTAAGTAATGAGCACTATGAAATGAACCATTTTTATAGTTGTGTACAGTGATATTTAGTCGTAATGTTCAGGCGATCTTTATGTTCTACTCTAGGATCTGGAGATGGAGGTCCAACCTGTTTTCGCTCCCAAGTCGTAGCAGGTGTATAATAATAAAACAGTCCGAGTAAGGAGGTGATTGGGGTGGATCGTGGCCCAGAAACTGGACTTTCAACCACGAGGCTGGTGTTCGTTTCCCGTGCGAAACAAAAAGTCAGCATTTCATGTTTTTTACTTAACTCGTGTAAGTAATTTAGTTGTTTTAACCCCCTTTTCCTAATCAAGGAGTTTTGGTGCCCAAACCTAAAACTGTGACGTTTCGTTTACAAAAACATGGAGACCCTGTGTTGCTCTTTCACACCATAAAAGTTTCCACAGACATTAGACGTTACATCTCAATCAGTAAAGTGGAACAGCAGAAGCCTCCACCACAGACACCAATATGATATCTAATATTAACACTGATACAATCAATCCAGCTGATTAAAGAGGAGGCACACTGTTTGTTTGTATCAGGCTACTTAAGACTTAATGTCCATGTACTTGGTGCATCTACAGGGCTGCACGGGGACATTTAAATATTGTGTTAAAGTTCCCAAGTCAGAATAACATGAAGTTTTCTTTATTCTGAAAAGTGAAGGTGGTGACGACTATGCCTTTGGTGTGAGAGACCCGGGCTAGTTTCACGTCTTTCAACACAGCATGATGTTCATTTAGTAAATTATGGTCCCGTTTAGAGGAACAGAGACCAGGAAGCAGGGGAGGCTTTAGGGTTAAGGTGATTAACTCTACCAAAACCCGTCAGGCGTAGCAATGCGTGTCCCTCCCCAGCTCCACCCTCTCGCCTAAACTAAAGCTAAAAGCTGTAGTCCACAAACCAGCGGGTGACGTCCCGGTCTGTGTCTGGGTCTGATGTTGTGTTTATAGAGGAATGTTTATTCCGGTTATTCCGACATATTTCGCTCTCAGACCCCCTGACCGTGAGAAAGCACCGCAGCTTGATGTTAAACCGTGAAGCTGTACTCACTCAGGTTAGCCAGCATACTGTTGATGTTCCGGAGCGTTTCTCCCACAGCGTCTCTGGTCTTTTTGGCGTTGTTGAAAGCTGCAGCCGCTCCATCGGCAGCCTGCAGAGGAGACATTGACATTACTGACTTTTTGTCCTGCGGTTCTTGACTCTTATCCCTGACAGGTTGTCTCTCTCTGTGTGGACGGTTTACCTGCGCAGCGTCGGCCTCCAGCGTCCTGGCGGTGTCCAGCTCGGAGGCCAGGTCTCCAGCCGTGCCGACCGCCTTCGTCTTCAGATCCGTCACGTCTTTGTTCAGTTTGGTGGCTTGATTCGCCAGATCGGCATAAGGCGGCAAAGATTCAAACGTTCCCTGAAGAATAAAGACAAGACACCCAAGTTAAGTTACGTTGCTTGCGTGGCCTACAAACTTAAATAACATTCAGTGTTGACTTGTTGTTTGTGTCTCAACTCAAGCTGGATAAAAGCTCTGGACAAGGCTAATAGGTGGACTTTGAGTTGGGATTGTTTTGTCAAGAATGAACTTTCATGCCGAACTGTTCAAAGCCAGCATGGACGAGAAGTCCTAAAACGTTTTTCTGAACTTCGACTTGAGTATTAAACATCAGCTGCAGGCCAGTGTGACAAAAACAGCAGCTATATTAAAGTAATAAACTGCAGTTGTGTCACTCATCATAGACAGCGTTGGCGTTGTTGGACACACAGATGACTCTGAGAGCGCTGATGATTGGTTGTTACCTCCAGACTGTTGACCAGAGTCTCCAGCTGGTTGATGCTTTCCAGTGCGCTGCTGTAACCATCAGACACGTCTCCCAGGACGGACAGCGTCTCAGCGTTGTTGCCGATAGCCTGCTGGATGGTGGCGTTGATGCCGGGAAGACGCTTGATGGCAGCGTCGGCCAGAGCTCTGCTGCCGTCGATCTGCTGGTCGAACCCTGCGGAGGAAGACGAGGAGTCACAGTCTGTTTATAGAGGAAACAAAGACACTGCTTCTTCGGTCGGTCGGTCGGTCGGTGGGTTGGTCTACCTTTCAGGGTGTTCAGGGTGTTGTCCAGCTCGTTGCTGTTGCTGTTGATGCGTTGCAGAGCGCTCTCTGTGATGTCCTTGGCGATGTTGACTCTGTCCACCAGCTTGTCGTAATCCTGCAGAGAGGAACCACACGGAGATCAACATGCAACCCCCCTGATGAAGCTCTTAACGCTTTCACAAGTTCCACAGTTTTACCAGATGTCTGTGTTTTTACTTCTGTATGACTATGAATGAGATGCTTCTCATTCTTCCTGCGTAGTTATGATTCTGTCAGTTTGCTGCTTTGCTGCTTCCGTCTTATGGTTGGACAGCTGCTGCCTCTTAGAGCATGAAGCGTCACAGCGATATGCATCTGCATGTTTCCAAACTGACTAGCTGCTGCTACTGAGCTGCAGAGTGAAGTGGATTTGTCTCGTTTTCGTAATGTGGCATAATTTGCACACTTTTGCATCTTTGTACCTTTTTGTTTTAGGGTAGTTTACATGGATAGTGGTGAAGAAATATTGTGAGCCAAGTTCAGGTGTGATGAAGAGTTTCGGAGACTGATGAAGACTTAACATACTAAGGTTTAATGAGACTCTGCTGTGCCAGCATCCAACACATGCAATGGCCAAACAAATCTGAAGGATAACATCTTTCGGTCCCATTTTTGTTTCTGTCTTTGCCCTAGTGCCTCTTCCCTTCATCTTTAACTGGCCTTAACCTGAACAACAGATCTGTCTGATGTTCAGACTCCAATGCGTTCCCTATGTCACACTTGAATCTAAGATTCCCAGAGAACACAGATATCTGCTGACGCCTCAGCTGCTGACTTTCCCTTATCTTTCTGTCGTCTCCCTGACCAGGACAGATCCACGAGAGACAGAACCAGATCTGGAAGGTCCTTGAACAACACCTGTCTTACCTTTATTAAGCCCCCTAAGAAACATCTTTAACATCTAGTACTGCCCGCTTCATGTGTGAATTTTGGACTTCCTTAATCCTTCAGTACCTGCTGGGCGGCCTTGCCCTTGGCCATCAGGTCCTGGGTGGCGGCCATGTCTTGCTGCACACCGCCCTGCAGCGCCAGGTAGCCTGAGATGTCCTCGTCCACCGTCTTCTGCAGATCGCCCACTCTGGAAACCATGGCGCTCACCTCATCCTGAGCATGGTGGGAAGAAACCAGGAGGTTGGAGACTTAAAGAATAACAACGTACTCGTGTTTCCGAAGGTCGGGAGTTCTAAAGGTGAACTCAACGTTTTGACCAGTTACCTTCAGGGATGATGGGATGTCTCGCTCCATGTTGGCGATGTCTTTCAGCATGCTGTCCGCCATTTTGCTCTCGTCTCTGGCCTCAGTGCTCAGCCGGGTCGCCTGGTTCTCAAACCCCTTCACCCGGGCCGAGGTCTGATCATACCTGAAACCGCACGGAAGCCGTTAGTTTATTGGAGAATCAACACAGATTTATGATCACGCCCTGAAATGTGCCGTTATGAGTACTTTTGTTACGTATATTTTAATGCTAAAACTTTTGTCTTTTAGTATTTCTACACTGTGGTACTACTACGTTTACTCTCTGAGGACTTCTTCCACTGCTGTTAAAGTGAGGAATCTTATTTGTGTGTTTACGAGAGGAGCTCAGACTGACTGAGGCGACTCACATGGTTTTCAGATCTCCGATCAGCTCCTTGACTCTGTTCTCTTTGTTCATGAGAGTTCGGACCAGAGCCAGACTCGCCTCCGAGTCCCTCAGAGCGTCCGTGGCGGTTCGGTCCACAGAATCTGCTGTCGTCTGATGTCTGCAGGACGGACGGAGAGGAAATAGAGACGATGGTGAAGACACAAACATCTAACGTGGTGTAAGTGACCTCTTATGAATTTGTCAGTGACGCCATAAGATGAACATGATGGACTCACTTGTCGGCCAGACTGGTGGCGGTCTGCACCAAAGAAGACAGGAAGTCTGGAGCCTGTGGAGAATCTCCAAGAGGAAACTCCTGAAAGAGAAAAGT